CAAAACCTTTTTTACCTTAAAAAAAAATCTTTGCGTAAGATTGATGCTGTGAGATGATGTATTAATTTTTCCTGTGAGTCTGAGTACTCCTTGTCACTCAGATTTACATACCTAAGGGTATTATATATGCTGTGACAAACCAAACCTTCATTATGTAATGTTTTAGAAATGGAGTAAATTCTTGTAGAAATTGGGAGAATTCCCTGGGTCTATAAGAACAAAGCAGAACAAAAGAGCAAGGAAGAATCTAAAGTCGTGCAATAAATTTTGCCAGGTTTCTGTACCACCTATCACAAAGCGAAGGATCCCCTGAAGCCATGCGCATAATTATTTTCTTTACTCATTTGAAGGACACATTTTTATCAAAATGGCATTAAAAAAAATGTGCCAGCCTAATTCACAACATCTAGCTAGATACATGTTCTCTGGTTACACAGAGAAGAAGAGTGAAAGCAACATGGATCAGTTAGGAAATTAGCACAGGGTGACCAAAAGGCTTTGTCATATAATTGGATTCTTTGCAGCCAGGTATGTCTTTAAGTGTCGTATACCATGTTCAGATAGAGTGATGCTCTGGTGTCAAGAGTGTTACCCGCTCATCCGACACTCAGTTAACACTGCAGCATAGCCCTATTTTTGTGAAATGAGTGAATGGAATGTGCATGAATGCTTTGCAAAAAAAAAAAAAAATAGAAAGTTGCATTAATGTGAAAACAGTGTGGACATTAATTCTCTCCCCTTGATTCTTTCAGCTGTGGGCTACAAATCATGTCCCAGAGATGGTCCGCCCAGCCCTGGAGAGGACACTCAAGTCCCTGAAACTGGATTATGTGGATCTTTACATCATTGAAGTACCCATGGCCTTTAAGGTGAGTTCAGATGCCTAAAGGTTAGGCCTGCACCCAGTGACCATGAGCCCACAGCTGTGTGCATGGGCCTTGTTCATTATCTAGCAACACAGAATGTTACCATGTTTTGTTTCCATAGATCAGAGTACTAACCTGCCCTGTCAAATGCCCAGAAAGGTTAATTTCACAGACTTGGGTGGGAACCCCAAGTTTATTGATTCTTAACTCAATGTGGTTTCCATTATACCATGTTTTTACAACTATAAATTCTTTCCATTAAACAAACAAGCAGTCCCTTGACTGTGATTCACATTTTTGTTGCCCAGAATCCAGATACACCCTTCTTCCTATTCACACAGTCATAAAAATGTCCCCACACAACATAATGCAACACAATTTGTGCAACTGAAAACATATTGCCCCTCCCCCCTCCAATGGGAGACAACCTGAAGATAGTCGTGTTTTTAGAGACAACTCCAAGGACAGAGCGTCTACATGTTATCTATTCCTCTAGGTCAAATGCCATCCTTGAACTTTCTCAATCTATAGATAACATTGATAATTTAACACACAGCAGAGCAGTAACAGCTTAAAATTTAATTGAAAGAAAGAGATTAAGAAATGAAATTGGCCACTTGTTCATAAGGTAAATAAGGTCCTGCTGCAGGAAGAATGGTCCTGCTGCAGGAAGAAGGAACTCTGCAGTGGCCAGAGTTCCTTTAGGCAACCAATTCAACTTGTACCCATTCTATTCTGTAGGAGCACCATTCTGTTGTCTCTCTTCAGTGGTCACACACCCAGAGTGCATTGATTTGGGGAAAATTCCCCTTTTGCATCCCACTTCATGGAAATATGGATTTGAAGGCTTCACAATTGTCCTGATAATTGCCTTTTTGTTTGTCAGCTAAGGATTTAATGGACAATAGATTTCTTAAAATATCTTAAAACTTTGATAGGCTTTCAGTAAATTCACTGTCAGCTTCATGAATGAATAGTCTTAAACCTAGAAATCTTATAGGGTCACATTTCTCATATCTAATCCTTGGCCTGGGGTTTCCCCCTCTTACTATAGAGCTTCCTTGCTTTGCTCATCTGCTTAGTCCTCAAATTAATGGCCTCCATCTTGGTCTCTGGCTCAAAACAATACAGAAGAGGAAAGCACAGATAATATGGTTGTTGTTTTTTTGCATTCAATTTGCATCTCATTAGATGGTGCATGTCTGTTTGACAGGACAGCTGTGGCCTAAGATCTTGCTTTCAGAGAGACCTTGAGAACTATTCTTCTCCCAAAGCCCTACTAAAAGCCAGTTCACCATATACCAGTCACCCTAACACCAGCCCACCGCATCTTGGGCTGATTTCATCACCTGCACAAGTCTGGAGAGACAGAACATTCACACAAGTGAAGCAGCTTTATTAGTCACAGATAGGCATCAAAGGACTACAGAAGCCTGGAATTCATGACAAGCTAGTTCCCCAAGGCTAAGGAAAGCTGCCCAGAGCAGATGGAGACTCATTTACAAATGCCTGTAACTCCACAGCTGAGAGATTCCAAAAGGTGGGTTTTATAGCCCAGGGGAACATGCCTGATAGGCAAGAGCACTGCAGGAAACCCTGTTCTGTGAGGGAGAGGAATAGGGACCAGGCTCTTCTGGACAGTCCCTCTTTTTCTCAGGATGCTGCATTCCCAGTCCATCCCACAGCTATTCTAGAGAACTCCAAGCAAAAAGGGGGGGGGGGCTGGGTCAGCCAAGGTTGTCCAGTGACCATTCTTGCACCAATTTTATTTCCCACTCAATTTGCTTTCTGACTGCCTTGGCTGACTCTGACTTCTCTAACTCTGTGAGACTCAGATACCTCCCTTTGCCATCTTGGGCTGCATCCAGAAGCAGGAAGAACCCACTTTTGTAAAACATCATGAAGTCACCATTTTAAATAAGGAAGTTGAGCCAAAAACCATAGAGTGAGAGAGGAGGGAAGAGGGATGGTAGAACACAAAGGTCACAGAGGTCATTTGTGACAAATGATAAGGATCATGGGCTCCAGAGCCAGGCTGCCTCATCTGAATCCCGTCTCAGTCCCATAGGAGCCAGATGGCTTGGTTGAGTCATACCTAATCTCCTTCCCACATCACCTAAATATGGTGTAGTGGAAAGAATATGGGCTTTGGAGTCACCAAAACTTTTTGGCTTTATTACTCCCTAGAGGAATCACTCTTAACTTTCTGAACTTCAATTCCATTGTCAATTGTCACTCTTGACTTTTGGCTTTATTACTCCCTAGAAGAGTCACTCTTATCTTTCTGAACTTCAATTCCATTGTCAATTGCGTGAAAACAATAATAGCTAATTTGTGTCTACTTCAGGAGTCACTAAAAGGCCATGTGCGGAGGTACTGACACAATGCCTGGCATTGAAGAGATAATAAAATAAAAATACTATTATGAAATATTTGGGTGGAAAGGATGCTTAGCAATTATACACATTAATAATCTCATTTCAAAAAAGAGAAGGCTGAGCCTCAAAATCTTGAAGTCAGTTACTCATGTTCCAAGTTCATCAGATTTAGGGGTCAGACCCTGGGTCACGTGACGTGTGGTCAATGCCATGCTCATCTTTACACTCCACTGTCCTTTCTGACTTCTCCTCTTGAGCCTAACACCCAAGGACAGCAGTGGTTTCTTGGTATCATGATCTCAACTCTCATCTCACTCAGTTATTGTTGACTCTTGTTCAAATGGTAGATTTTTTTTCTAAATCTGAGTCTTAAAATTTGGAGGAGAACCTGTATTTAAAAGTGATAAGATGAAGTTTAGCTGGGTGCAGGGGCACTTATCTGTAATCCCAGCCATCCGGGAGGCTGAGCCAGGAGGCCAGAGAGTTCAAAGCCAGCCTTGGCAACTCAGCAAGGCCCCAAGCAACTTAGGGAAACCTGTCAAAAAAATAAAAAATAATAAAAAAAGGGCTGGGAATGTGGCTCAGTGGTTGAATGTCCTTGGGTTCAACCTGTGGTACCAAAAAAAAAAAAAAAAAAAGTTTACCTCTCTATGGACGAAATAACTTTTTTAAGTCTTTTTTGGAGAAAGCAAATAGAAAACTTCTATTTGTACTCTTGAAAGGATCAAAGCTCAGGGACACTGAAGATCAAACTAACAGTAAGAATTGACACAATATAACGATACCTCCCAACTGGGCCTGTAATTGGGAAATGAATATTTAAAGCTAAAACATCATAGGCTTTTGAATCTCATAATTTTTTAAGTGAAAAAAATCCTTTTTGTCAAAAATCTCAGTGTTTTTTGAAAGTGACAAGTTGATAAGCAGACATAATTCCAGAGCAACAAAATAGAAAAAGAATCAGAAGACATTTTTAAAAGATGAATGAACAGAAATAAGAGTAAGTAGCATGGATTTTTGGAGGGCTGAATTAATCTTCCAATACTGCCTGACAGTGTAGGAAAGAGAAAAACCAACTTCTCAGGATAAAGCAGACATGGTGGAAGTTCAAGGGGACACGTGGAAATACCTAACATGGGTTAGGGTGGCTTGATAGTAGCATCTGGGGAAGAAAAAAAAAATCATGTAACAGAACTCGTGAAGGAGGAATAAGGTCATTTCAGAAGACGAGTAAAATGATAAAATGCAAAAGGCAAAAAATACGGAGGAAGAGTGGAGTAGAAATTTGGGTCATAGATGTTGAGAAAATCTGAGAGCTTAGAAATCAGAGATGAAAAATAATTAATGTGAATAATAACGAACATCAAGGAGAAAGGAGACTGGTTCTTCCTTTCAATGACGCAGGAAGAAACAGGAGAAATTCTCTTTGCTAAGAGAACAATGTGGAAAGTTATTACTAAGGGAAAGTTGAGTTTTGTGAAAGTAAGATGGTAGAGGAAAAAATGAGAAAAATATTTAAGAATAAAATGGGTATTGTCCAATTACTGCATTCCCTTCTCAGTCTGTTTTGTGCTAACAGAACACTCAACACTGCATCATTTATAGAGAACAGATATTTACTGTCTCCTAGTTCTGGAAGCTGGGAGATCTATTATCAAGGCACTGGTATCTGAAAAGAGCGTTCTTGCTATCAATGCATGGCAGAGGTGGAAGAGGAAAGACTGCAAGAGAACAAACTCACTCTTATAAGTCCTTTTTATAATGGCACCTGGCTAACCACTTGTCATCGGTCCCCATCTCCCAGCACTGTTGCAATGGGTATTAAGCTTTCAACACAAAAATTCTGGTAGACATATTCAAATGGTAACAGCTCCCAACAAGAGATTTCTATCAAAGTCAGCAAAGGTGTCCATCCTGCCAAACCCAACAGACACTTTGTCCTGGTGTTATTTGATCTCTTTCAACACAGTTGTGTGTTCATCTCCCTCTTTAAATATTTTCCTCTTTCAGCTTGTATGATAATACATTCTCATGATTCTTTTTACAGCTACCCTCTGCCAACCTTCAAATGTTGTTATGCCCAATGCTCTTTCTGCCATAGTCTTGTCTTACTGGCCTCACTCTCTTCCCAGGACCAACAGCGTTTAGCTTCCAAGGTCAGATGAGGTTCTATATGCTCAGGGTGGAAATGGATAGGACCTAGGCCTACCATCTCTGTAAATTGATTCCACCCACTCTCACAGCCTTAAGACCATTTTACCGGCTGATGAGTCCCAAATTTAATCTGTAGCCAGGACCTCTTTCTGAACCCTAGGCTTCTCTGTTCAACTGTCTCTCCAAATACTCCCTTGAATGTCCGTCTAATGGTCATTTCAAAGTGAAACAGAGACTAAGGGTGTAATTCAGTGGTAGAGCTCTTTCCCAGCAAGCATCCCTAAATTCAATCCACAGTGCTACAGGAAAATAATAACAGACTGGTCAAAACATTCCAAAATATTTCTGGGTGTGGTAGTTCATGCCTATAATCCTAGCAACTCAGGAGGCTGAGGCAGGAAGATTGTAAGTTTGAGGCCATCCTGGGCAACCTAGCAAGGCCCTAAGCAACTTAATGAGATCCTGTTTCAA